AAATATAAGTATAACCTTTAAAAGTACAAAAATATAAGTATAACCTTTAAAAGTATAAATAAGTATAACCTTTAAAAGTATGAAAATATAAGTATAACTATTAAAAGTATAAAAATATAAGTATAACTTTTAAAAGTATAAAAATATAAGTAAAATAAAATTGTTAAATTTTAACCATGCATAAAATGAGTAAGAGAAAGAGTAAAAAATTTCTAAAATTTAAACCTATCCATCACGTACGTCAAACAAGTTGACGTATCCAAATAGGCATTTTTTTTTACGATAATAAATAAATCCAATCCTAAAATTACTCACAACATTGATCAATATAGTGAAGTAAAGGTCAATTAGGTCAAGTAAACAATGTGATATGTTTGTGTTTCGAGTCAAACTGTTACTTAAATCTGAATTAAATGAAATTTTAAATTCCTACCTAAAGATTTCTCGCATATATTGCTCTCTTTTAGAATCTATTATTAAGCTATATCATTTCAAATTTTTTAAATTTTAAATATAATTAAGTAAATACTTAAATATATTTTTGAGATTAAAAAAGTACTTAAATACTCAAAATACAGCATATTTACGTGTTAATCTTAAACGTGTATACTTTTTTTTGTCACGTATATACACGTTTGAAACATACTTTTTATACACGTTTTCTTTTTTTCTTTTTCTTTTATCATACATTTTTTATCAGTTTATTGATCGTATCCTAACGTTTTAATATTTGTCGAATGACATTCTATGAAACGATTTAAAATAGAACGACAATTAATTAGCATTGATGTATGAATTTTTAAACAAATCATTTTTTTTTTCCCTCTCTAAAATTATTGAATTTATAACCTTCATCTATTTCAGCAATCATTTATTATCATTGTAATTGCTGCTTATCAATTGATATAATCATTATCATTAATCATGATAATCAATCAGTATAGCAATCATAATCTTCATTCATAATTATTACAATTACTAATTTCATTTCCTAATTATTGCAAATTATAAATTAATGGTAAAAACCAGAAAAAAAAAACTGATTCTTAAGAAATTTTCTATATAACATAGAATGATTTATTTTGATTAATCTTTTTCTGATAAAATATAATTTGGAATGGAAGGAAACGAGAAAAGCGAACGAAAAATAGAAAATAATGTACAATAGTAGGAGTATTAAAAAATGGTAGCAAAGTTGTCCTCTGTCAACCCCGTTTTCAACCATTGTCAACTATTATCATCAAATCATCGCAAGTTTAAGATTAAACAATTTATTACATTAATTTATGAATGCACAAAATGTCCCCCATAAATCTGCTATCAACAAAATAATACGTACGCATGTCACATACACGCGTACATATACACACACATACACACACACACACACAGACACAGACACAGACATCGACATACATATGCTAAGATAAAATATAACAATGAAGAGAGGAAGAAAGCATCATTGAAATAATTACACTGCTAATTATTCATAATTAGTTGTTACCCTTATGTTACCTAAGGTAGCCATTAAACTTCATCTACCTGAATAAAACAATTAATTAATGCTTATTAATCATTACGTATAATCTTGCGTAACATTACGCTTCCGTGATCGTATATTTGACCGTCTTTTTATGTAACACATTACATATCTATCATCAATCACATGTTTGGTCAACCTGAATTGTCAACTACCTTAAACTATCTAAATTTTGAATTGTCAACTACCTTAAACTATCTAAATTTTGAATTGTCAACTACCTTAAACTATCTAAATTTTGAATTGTCAACTACCTTAAACTATCTAAATTTTGAATTGTCAACTACCTTAAACTATCTAAATTTGAATTGTCAACTACCTTAAACTATCTAAATTTTGAATTGTCAACTACCTTAAACTATCTAAATTTTTGAACTTATAAATTCAAACATAAATTTGTAAATCAAAAAATGTAAATTGTAAAATTTATATTTTTGTAAAAAAATGCAAATCAAACTAAAAATTGCTTGCTATATAATCGGGAAAATCCTTTATTGAATTTTCAATCCTTTTCCCTGTTTACAAATTATTATCAGCGTCATTACTATCATTATTATCAATTTATCATTATCATCAATAAATTAAATTAAGCTAAAAATTGCTTGCCATATAATTAGGAAAATTATTATTCTCTAATTATTTCACTCCTTAATTGGCAAAGGAATGAATCTAGCTGGA